GCATCGGATGAGGACCAACAAGCTGCAGAGGCTATCCTTTTTCTTGCTGCTAGCCCCAGCCCCGCGATCGCTCATTCGAGTCCGGCTGTCAAGCTTCAAGGCTCAACTTTCCCGACCGCAGAACCGAAGGTCGGAAGAGTCCTATTCGATGACGAAGCCGATGAAACATACTCTGCCTCAACGGAAAGATCGCTACGTGGTCCATCATCGTTGTCTCAAACAATGATGTTTCACCAACATCAATCAGTAGGCCAATCGCCGCTTCATCAACCCCCTATCAACAATACATCGCCTTCAAGGGACAGGTTCTCCCGAGCGCTCCCTTCACCGCTGGTCCTTGCGCATAAGATCACTGGTCTCACCGCGCAGAATGAACCTCTCATGGACGTCCCAATACCACCATTGACAGCGTCCACCGTGGGCGATGCAGAGCATCCCGTAACTTCTTCATCAGAACCGACAGAACTACTGTCCCCGCCTCATTCGGACCATTCTAAACCTTGATTTCGCTGTGTCATTTTCAACACATTTCGATCCTTGTCAAGTCAGAACTACCAACGTTGTACACAAATATAGATGTGAAACAAATGTAAAGGGTTGTAAATTGTACGCTTCGTATGCCATTTGCTCGATCTGTTCACCAGTCTCCTCTTCGCGAATATCCATCGATTCAGCGTTCAAGCATTGTCTTCCAGAGTTTATGGTCATCTTTTTCGACGTCGCGTACCCGGAAAGATCTGTAATCCAACGGAACGATCAGTGTCCACTTTCCATATATCAAGATTACAGCGTATTTACCATATCGTTATCCTCATCGTCATCCATGGGGATCAAGCGTTTACGCTTATTGGTGGAAGGCGTATTGGAAGCGGTATGAGACGATATAGCTGACCCCATAAAGTCTTCTGCCTGAGATGATTCCCCTCTGGACGGTTTGCTGGCTTTCTTCTGATACGTCTTCTTTACTGGCTGGTCGTCGTCGTCCGATTCTACCGCCAGCAAACTTGGACTGGACTCGTCTACAGTGATCTTTGATCGAGGAGCAGCTGTTGACTGCCTTGATCCAGAAGTGGAGGCGCTGCCGGCAGTCGTGGTCGTCTTGGACTTTCTGGGATGTATCTGTGTGGTAAAGGCGCCTGTGGCATCCCGAGCAAGTGTTGGTAACGCCATCACTTCGTTCTCGTCGTCGGAATCTACTCTTAGTAATCTCTTTCTCGGTCTCGCGGTAAACTGCGAAGTCGCGTGATCAGCTTGGTTTGATGCTTGACTCTGTTTGATTCTGGTCTGCGTGTAGTGTGGAAGTTCAGTTGCAGACGTATTGGCAGTTTTCTTGTCTGGCCAGTAGTCTAGAAAGGCTGGGTTAAGTCGCACTTCTTTATATGAATATACGGTGCTTTGAACTCACCAAGCCCTATTCCGAAATCAGCAGCTGGTGCCAGACTCAGTTTCACCGGCGATCGTCGCGAGATCTCTTGCTATTTAGACGGCACAGTCTTGATCAGATACGACCACCGGTATCAAGAAAATGCTTGAATACCTTTTTAAACTTTTTGAAATTCGGCCTTCCTGCCCAGTCTTGATTTGCAGCATGATCGCGGTCTTTGCCCTTGTCCTTTCTGAATAGATTGACGCGTTCAATCTTGATGAAATTTCCCGTAACGTCCGTGTCGAGATCCAATACCGAGTTATAGATGCGGGATGCATCAAACAGCCCGGCACCGTATACTTTGACTGGCACGCTCTTTTTAGGCTTCGCAATTTTCAATGCATTGAATTCAAGATCGAATTCGTCCAGATCTTTGGCGCCCTTGCGAGCTTTGGTCACGGTCTGCAAGAACTCGGTATCTTCCGTAACAGCTTCTGGTCGAGTCGGATCAACATGGTGAGCATGTAGAGGTTTCCGCGTAACAATATTAGAGTGTTTCTTCGGCTCGTTCGGTCTCGTCTTGTCAATGTCCATTCTTTGATTATCAATGGTTTCAGGGCGCCTGCTGACAGGAGGTTGGTTTTGGCTGGTCGCTTCTGTCTGCTTCTTCTGCCTGTTTATCGACCTCCGAACGAAATCCTCTTCTTCTTGCGGTACAGTCCTATCATCCTCGTCATCTACCTGAGATGAATCAGAACCGCTTTGTTTGACAGAGTTGTAAAGACTTCGGAAAGCGTGCAACGAGTCCTTTTTGCTAGAGTAAGGTTTTGCGGAGTCGTCATCATCTTCTCCGATACTGTGTAGTAGACCTAATCGAGTTTTTCCCGCGCGACGCTTCAATCCCGAACCTATGGAGGCACTAGTTTTCTGCTAGAGACAAAACATCGCGACGCAGAAAACATCTTGAGGTCGGACCCCTTCACACCGCGGATGTATCTGGGAGGACTCACGGTGTCGGATACTCCATCGTCAGCGGTATCATGTGCAAGGGTCTTTCCTTTGTCATTGCGTTCGTCACCGATATCGATACGACTTCGTTTTCGCTGAGGCATTTCGGCATCATCACCATCATCGTACTCGCCATCGTCGTTGTTGCTTAGCGTAGAAAAGAATTGTCGGCCCTGCTTGGCTCGCAATCGAAGCGGCTATGTGCAAGTCACTTCAGGAACAGGTTGCAGGAATCCAATATCACTCACTCGTTTCTGTGCAGGCTGTTCGGTAGGCGCTCGCTCCTCCGGATGCGTCGAAGGAACTCCTACCGATTGCTGTTCAGCAGATTTTCCACCCTGGCTGGAGACCTGTGACTGTGATTTTGCTGTTGCAATGGCGAGCCGCGATTGAGTGTCCATGGCTACGAAGATATGGAGCAAGGTCGTCTCAGCCCATCGATAACTTGGCGCATCGCTACGCTTTACGAACAGCACGAACCTACACTCACCGGTATCAGTCGCGTCTTGAACAGTCGAAGAGAAGTCTTTCCAGTTGCCTCTCGTCAGAGTGGTCCACCAGTTCCCGGCAAAGTTCACGGGTATATCCAATCTAGGGAAAATGATACGATGTCAGCCGACACATCCCTGAGAGCCATCGAACCAGGGCTAGAAACAAACTTTTGGAGAGGTTCCATCAGAATGTCAATAAGCATGACGCCGACTGTACTGTAGTTTTCGATCACGGAGTCACCCAACGCTACGGCAACATGTTTTCCATGTTCTCCGATCTTTGGATCTTCTTTCAAGCAATCTTGGAAGTTTTTCTCTGCTTCATCAAAATAAGGCTTTAAACGAGTGGCGAAATCATCCCAATCCTTTATGCGATTGGATTGAGAAAGAATGTCGAGATGGCGGACGTTTGCTCCCAGGTTACGGAAGTACTTTTGTTCATCGAGCGGCTATTGCAGATATCTACTATCTGAGTCTCTCACAAGGTTTCAAAGGTGCGAACAACCGGGAAGCTCACTGATTTCCCACCAAGCGTCAAGACCGTCTGCCCCTTCCAGATAGATTTCCTTGACTCATCAGGCAACCACCAAGTAGCTTTCTTGCGCGCATCGTCGATTTCATGGTCGATCGCTGGCGAGAATTGATCCGCTGCAGGCAATTGAAAGATCCCTTCGGGGTTCTTGCGCTCTTCAAATCCAGCCAGAATCGATTTTGCAGTGTCGAGCCATTCGGGAGAGACGATAGGAACCGCAGTTGACACCGCCAACAGACAATCGTGATCGTCGGTGTCGATCTCTTTTCTGACTACATATGAAGTATGGTGAGGTACGAATTCAAGCGAGTTGTAAATCACTGCAAAAGGTCATTTGGTCAGTCACCCGTAAGCCTGTTCGATCGCAAAGAAACTACGTACGATATTGGTTAAGATACGTGTAATGTTCTGCTCTCTCGGGCGTCCTGTTGCTATCTGCCACTATTACGGGCTTCCAGGCAAAGCTAGACAAATCTCATGCGTCAGAAGGAAGTATAGCAACAAGATTTGATGGGACTGGCTCTTACCGGACCTTTAGATCATCAGCTAGGTGGACAATTGTACCAGACTGTACTTCGAAGTTCTTGTCTTCTGAACTTTTTTCGAAGTCTGTGACATCATAGGAATTTTCCGACGCGGCGTTTATAGGTTGCCACACTCCTATAGCTTTGCCAAGCCCTTTGACTTCGTCCACATAAAAGGTCAACTTCGGACGGATCTAGCGCGTAGAGAGGGATCAGCATTACAAAGCTGATCAGGTTATTCCGACAATTTATGGGTAGACTCACGATCTCACCTGTCTTCGAGTTGATATAACGCTGCCATTCGTCTACTTTCAGATGAGCCGTTTGTTTGGTCAACTTCTGATGTTTGATGACGATATCGTTTACTAGACCTGTGCCGTCTTTGTCTGTGGCTCTTTCGGGATGCCGTCCGATGTTGTAGATCTTGCTATGCCTCAAGGGCAGACTCTTCTCAGTATCTGTTTAGAAATTCGTAGCACAAGTATCGGCAAGCCGCACTGGACGAGGACAGACTCAGATAAACTCACACTTCCCAGCTTCGTAGACACCCGGGATGTTAAGATCTCGAATCTGCAGTATCCACATTTTTCATGAACCGGTGCATACGAAGGAACCGTGTCCAGGCCGTTGGATGAGGCCGTTCCCACTCCTGACGCGATCTAGTCGTAGAGTGGTTTCCTACGTTGGCTGTACTTCTTCGCAAGCCAAATACTAGATGCGGAAGAGGACTGATATTGCCCTTATAGAGAGGGCCGACTACCGATCGTTGAAGCTGTCTGCAAGTCGAGCTGCAAGTCGCCATAGTGGATACCCCTATGCACCAGGTTCCTAAATAGCAATCGAATGTCGCTTCTCATCCTTGATGCTGACGTAAGGGCTGGCTTTATGGCGCAATGCATTTCTTTAGGGATACGGCATTGCTGTCGGGGCGAATCTAGGACACCCCTTCGAAATTAAACAAGCATCCTTCTCACTAGCACAGTGGTAGTTGCGTCGAGCTGTTATTCTGCGAAGAACGGTCACTCGAAGTTATAGCTGACATGGTTTGTAGAGCTGTCTACATCCAAAACCAAAAAAAACTCTTCAGACAAGGATCGAACTTGCGACCTTCGAGTGGCTTCTGTTGTAACAGCTCGACGCAACTACCACTGTGCTACTGAAGAGTAGCTTAATGTCCAGCTCGACTGTACAATATAATAGGAAGAAAGCACCTGTCACACGGCGATTGTTGACCGAGGAGAGCATTCTAAAGACGTGTTTATTATGATGATGTATGTGCCAATGTATACAGGATGACGAATCGCGTGTTCTGCGCGTGGGGGATGCAGGTTGATGGTTAGGTTGATTGAGCTTCTAACATCCTTTCCCATCTTTGGCTCTCCAATTTGTCCGTAGTACTCGTATCGCCACACACCCCTTCCTGACTCAAACCAGCAATCATCATGAACGGGAACCCAGACGTACCCTCCATGACGTACAAGCAGAAAAGGGCGGCCCGGTTCAAGGAAATGAAAGCAAATCGCAACCGCCACGCGGGCAGTGCGGAGGGAACAAGAGCTACAACGGGTGGTGGACCACATGGTGAGTGTCTTGTGAGGTCGTTCGGACAGGAAAGGATGCGCTTGATTCGATATAGCGAGTGTTCAAGCTTGGACGACGCTTGCTTGCCGGCAAGCATCTCATGCGTGCTTCTATCCGTTACGTTGTGCTTATGGACTGTCAGCTAATACCTATGTATTCTCCGCACGCGATTTTGGCGAACCAGCACTAACCGACACTGCAAATGCATTCGGTGCAACTCAGGCTAGACCTACTTTTGGCGCGACTGGGACAATCACCAACGGAGGTCTCTCTGGCGGTTCAACTGGTAAGTTGCGTCGATGTGCGGACTTCCTTCTTCTCTCAATTCAGTCTATACAGGTACATTCGGCCTTACGGGTAGATTCGGTGCCGCCGCCGCACCACAAGCTTCGAGCGGTGGTCTCTCTGGAATTCGAACTGACGCGTTCGCTGCTAAACCCATCACTACCACCTTCGGCGCTGTAGCAGGAACCGGCACGACTGGCGGCCATCCTCTCCGTGTTCAACCGGCAACGACACGCCTCGGCGCTCTTCTCACGACAACCACGTTGCCTCAACCGGTCACCAATGGAAGTCTTGCTCCTTTCTACACACCACTGCGAGAAAAAGATGGCACAGCAGCCAACGCCGGATGGGGTGTATACAACACTATCACCTGTATGACCGAGTACCGAGGAACTAGCTTGGAAGAAATCAGAGTGCAGGATTACGCGGCTGGACGAAAGGTAGCTTCTGCTGGATCGACAACATCAACGGGATTCGAAGCTCAACCTGCTCAAGGCGGGTTGTTTGGGTTCATTGGTAAGCCTGCTATACCACCATCAACCGCATCAACCGGTTTTTTCAGCTGCACAGACTAACACGTTTGGTCAACCGGCTGCAGGTGCTACTGGAGCGAGATTGTTGGATGCTGCTCAGCAAAACGCCACAAACTTGTTCTGTCAGCCGCCACAACAGGCAAATGCCTTAGGCCAACCCGCACAACAGTCGTCAGGCTTGCTTGGTCAACCCGCTCAACAAAGCAACGCTCCAGTTGTCAGTACCGGTGTCGGTCAACCCTTGCAAAACACTACCGCGCCGCCTTGGGATTTCGGTCAGCAGAAACAGCAGGCCGGAGCAACGGCCCAACCTGCCGCTGGAGGTTCTGGATCTAGTGCGACTACGACTGAGGCAGCGGCCTCGGATGAGTATGAGCCATTCCGGATGCGAATGCCTTGGCCCTATATAAAGGCCCACAGACCACCGCCCACACTCGAAGAAATAGAGTTGCAGCTTTCCAATCGAGCGGTACCTATCACGGAGGTGGACAGGCTGTGCTTCGCATGCCAGTCGGACTATCAGGAACAGATGAATGCCTTTTCAAGTGGTAGCCGCGCGGAAGCGCCCACTATGAACTGCGCGTTCTACGACCCGGGGGTGTTGGACTACATTAAAGGAACGAAGCGCTCGAGTCACAAAGGTCTTTATGACAAGTGTATAAGTTGCAGGAAAGCGGGCCGAGTGTGCGAATGGCCGGATGCATCATTGCGGGAGGTCGAGAGGATGGCGACAAGCAAGTCTCTGAGAAGGGGTATAGCCAACGGTCAAATGCAACAACATGGATATGTGCGAACGCCGGCCCAACGCGGGTCGCGTATGGGTTATACAACATATTACTCTTAAGAACGTGAGTTGTATTATGCATATATTAATCATTATTTTATTACAACAACCGGAAGGTCCATCGGGTCCGATGTTGCATAAAGACAAAGGTACTCTTGATTCACTGGAGTTGGTGTTTGTATCATATGCTCGTCAGCAGACCAAGTTGCCCCGGGAGAAAACACTCGCATTTGTATGGATTCACGAAATAAGTGATAGTCGTCAGTCGACGGCGATGGTCTCGTATTCACCACCCTCTCTGGCGAGTTGCGAGCAGCCATACAGCTCTTCCTACACTGATTCCAGGTTTAGTTACCGAGTCACGCAGCTACCGTCACTGCGATTCACGACTCACAAGTCTCGGCGAGTTTGCGCCGCACCGCTCCATGTTTCCTTCCTATATCCTCAACCTTCCACCCCAACCCAATAACCTTCATAATCACCGCACGCAACCCACTTCCCAGCATCTCGTCTACGAATTTCGCTTCCGCTCGTTGCCAGAGGTAACAGAGGCACGTTGGACCTAATGAGGGACCGGAGGCGACGTGTTCGACCGATTCGCGTGCGTTGGTATCTGGAGAAGATGGTGCCTGTGGAAATTCCTTGCAGATCTGGCTGATCCAGACTTGACTTCGTTATCACGGTATCCACAGTGTTCACAGTTGGTGGACATGATGTTAATGTCCTTGAAATACGGGATATTGACTCGCTGCATCAGCGTGTCGATTTGATGACCACAACTCGAACAATCTCCCGGGAAAGCAAAGATCTCCTCGGGGACGATTGGTCCACTCTTGGTGTCGGTAACCGCTTGGTCTACCCGTCGTGCACCTTCAGGCACATCTTTTCCACTGGTTTGAGCAGGTTCCTTCCTTTCCGCTTCGTCTTGAGCGACGAGACCAAGCGCAACGTTTTGATCCCTTGTACGGTTGTAAACCCGCATACTCCACTTTGGATCGGATGTCGAGCCGACGAACGAGACGAACGAGTTGCCAGCGGGATCATCCAGTTTGAGGGTGAACGGAATAACCTTTCTGGGTGCCGCCTGCTTGACTTCGCCAACAGTCTGTTCTTCGTTGTCCTGATCCTCTCCATTCTCAGGCAGACATCCCTTCAGCCTGTCGATGATTGCCTGAATTTTGGTGTAATCCTCCGGTTCCATAACTTTTCGTAAAGGCTGATCAAGTGACGGATCCCGAACAGTGTCTCGAAGAATGCCTTCAATGTTGGTAAGTTGACCTCGAGATGCCGGGATCGTCAAGGCGACTTCAGGAATAGTGACGATGCATGAGTTGGACTTGACTACCTGTCGGTTGAGGTTGGTTGAGGTCGGACGGGTTGAGCACGTGTACAGTATGTACACATCCTTTCGCTAATGCGTGACTCTAGTCAGCGTCCAAGATTCGGCGATCATGCAGGAAAAGAGTACTCACTCTGAATTTCGCCGGCTTGTTGAATCTCGGTGTTGCTGTTGCCACAATGCTCGCATCGGAAAGACATTACAATGACTTCTCGGAAGTATGGGATAACTGTAAGAAGCATTCTGGTCATGCCCTATAGTTCGATAACACAAGTGAGTTCCTGCGCTTTGGTAATTGTGACAAGGGTGACTCACGTTCTTTCCACACTCCATGCACATCGATTCCATCTCCTGGACTTGCCGGTCTTCATCCTGGAAGCCCATAGCGACATCGCCTTGCTGCTGCGGCTGTGACTGATCCGACTCGGGGCGGTCCGGCTGAGCATCTATGTCGCCAGCGACTTCGCCAATGCTCTTGAACAGCTTGTCCGATCACATTTTTAGTGTTTCGAAGGTGATATTATCAGGGTATGCTCTGTCTAGTGAGTGGAGTGGCGTTATCTTCCCTGTTGTCTATATATCCAGGAAGTTATCGAAAGGCGGGTCATCAACCAGAAATTGCTAGTGGCTAGGTGACGGGAATAATGGGCAGAGTGACATTTGATGCTCGCAATATCTTCGTAGCGTCGTGGCTAGCCGTTTCATTGAAGGTGTAAGTTATTGCTTGAGAAAAGACTGTAGGATCTTACTCACCCTGTCATCTTCGGCAAGATAATATCCATGAAGACTACATCGAAGGGCGCAGAATTGATTTCCGCAATTGCAGACTCGGCGTCTGTTACTTGATCGACTTCACAGCCGATGAGCTGTAGGAATCGAATAGCCAGATTGCGGCTAAGGAGTCAACATGTAAGCGTGTCTCTTGCATTGGCGTCACAGCGGAATCAAGACTCACGATACGGCATCGTCTTCGACTACCAAGACTCTCGGTGCTTTCGTCCACGACAGTGACGAAGCCCAAGTGCTTAGAGTATTTCGCTTGTGGTGGGTGACGTCTTTTGAAGGGTTGGAATCGAGCTGCGGTTGCTGATTACCCCTCATATCCCCAGGAACCATCTCCATCATGGTACTGGCTTCTTGATAGTCTGTGACAGACATGCCACCAGGCTGGTCACCGAGATCATTACCTATTGGCATAGTCATGCCAAGAGATGGATCGACGCTGAGTGCGGCACCTGGGACAGAGCCGCTCGCCATGGTACCAGTCGACATGAGGCCGGCGGAACTACTAGAACTTGACAATTCATCTGCTGGCCAGATAGGAGCATTGCTTGCTGTTGTTGGCGGATTCATGTAGGTGTGAACTGGCAGGTGCTTTGGATCGCCCATGCTGTTCCCAGACGTTGGTGGGATGAGCGCTTCGACATTTAGCGGTTCGAAATTCCCTGTACCGAAAGAAGCGTGAAGCGAATCCAAGTCATTGAGCAGTTGCTCAGCACCCTCGGATGCATTCAAATCTGATAACAACAGTCAGCTATGATTCCGCCCATCCGTAATAGAAGAGCCAATACGTACTTGTCAAATTCTTGACCATGAACGTCACGAGATTTGGGAACCATTCCTCCTTCCTACGGTCATTCT